CAGGGAGGTTCTTGATTTGTAAATCTTTCTGATATCCTTGATTAATTAAAAATCCCACCTCTGTACAAAAGCAAGCATGTACTTTCCTCCTTACTTCCTGAAATGTCTCTTTTGAACAAGTACTTAACTCAGGACTAAGTTGCTTTTTAGTTTTCTGATGCTGTTGCACAATGACCAGAACATTTTTTTCTCTGTCCCTGGTGGAGTATTCCTCATTAAAAGGGTGCTTTTTTATCTGCTGAAGAATGGACTCTGTAGATGAACTCTGCTTTAGAAGGTATAAAGTTCGTGCTGAGGGGCCCCTTACAGAAGGTGTCCCAATCATAGTGGATTAAATAAAAAATTAAAATAAAGATTTTAGGAATTTTTATTCCTGAAATCATGTCAGAGAATGGTTCAATGACTATGCATAAAATCTTAGCTGCTTAGGAAACACTCTAAGCAACATTTCTATTTAGGATTCTTTTTCTGGGATCAAAGCTTACTAAAATGACTGAGGTGATATTTCAGATTTCTTTTCCAGACTGGCAGTTCACAATATGTGGGCACGGACTCTGATCTTTCTGTAGTGGCTGCTGTGCACTGCTTTTCTGCCATTAGTATAGTAACGATACTTCATTTTCCCACTGAGTGATATTTCAGTATCTTTTGACCCCCGCAGATGAAATTTACCTGCTAAACCAGCTTTGCGTTGCTTTCCACTGTTCTCCTTGGCTGATTTCTGCTGGTGTAAGACCAAGATCACACAGCTGAAGTTAGCTGAAGACTAAATGAAGCAGGATTCAAGGATTTACCAGGTGAGAGTGGCACCCCCCTGGATCATCTCCATACCGCTTGCAGTCAGAGCATTATGCTCAGATGCCTTGACATGCTATTTCATCCTAGCTCCAGATCACAGCACAACTAAAAGTAAGGGGTTACCTAGGTCAGCACGCTGCTTACACAGTCTCTATTCTGGAGAACAGGAGGACAAGGTCTGCTGTGTGCATGGGACAGAAGAGGACTTCCAGCAGCAGCTGTTGCTATCCCTGTTGCTGCTGGCTGCAGCAGCAAAAGCTCTTCAGCCTTGTCTTTTGCACTTGCTCAGACCTTTACCCAACAGCATGAAAGATGCAAGATGGTCAGGAGAGGCTGCTAACTGGAGTTGTTGAATGCGGTGTTTGGTAACAGACATCCATCCTTGGCACCCCTAAGTTACCTATAGCCTGTTAAAGTCCAACTGACCACCTCTTCTATAAGACCCTTTCTAGTCTTTCTTCCCTCTTCTGTTGCAAAACGCACCCTACTGCCAGTGCAAAATAAGATTTTCTTTTGCCTGAATTGCTGAGAAGCCTTTGGCGAGGTCTGTGGAGTTCAGCATTCTTTGCTCTAAATCCACAGAGGTCTAATTATCCAGCCATGGTAAAGTTAGCAGTAATCTGGGTGTTGACAGGGTAAACAAGTGAATTTACTTGCTTCTCCAGTCCCACCAGTAGGTGCCTTTATCTTATTCCAAGCTTGGTGTTTCACTTTTTCCTTTTTGGATTTAAGAATATAATTCCATATTCAATTCAGGTTATTAAAATATGTTTCCACAGTAGTAATTTACAGATTTTCACTATCACCTATTTTAAAATAGCTTTTTTAGTCTACTGGAATTTATCCTCTGAGGTAAGTGACCCTTGCCTTGTTAATGGCAAGCCAGAGTCAGGCAGTACACCCTGTAAGAAGCAATTTTAACGCACTTCCCACCTTTGTGGTATCAGCATATTGAGAAGCAACACATGAAATATCACATTTCTAATGTTAGCACATATTTCCACGGCTCAGAAGGGCAAAATGAGGTCACAAAGCAACAACCTGGTGGACGAACTAGTGGGACTTGGAAAGACGCTGAAAGACACATTTTTAAGGCAGATTTTCAGAAGCCAGAAACTGCAAAATCAGCATGTTTGAAGACACAGGACCAGATGTTTAAACAGAGGCAAACCTTTTAGGGACTTTCTGCATGGAAAGAAATCCAGTATTACTGATTCCAGGATGAGATCTGCTTATGGAATCATAACAGTTTAAAACAGCAATACCTGCATAGAGGGCACATCTGCAGACAGATCTGGTTCTCAAGCAAGCTCAATCCCACATTTCTTCCAGACCTCCCACTGCCCAGCTGACACAGCTTAGAAATAACACAAGCTACTTAAGGCATGGCACAGGCCAAATATTCACAAATGATTCTCATTTCAACACAGGCTTGAGTCAGTCACAACAGCAGCAGGGGAAGAGTGGGTAACAGGACTCCCTGGAGCAACTGGTAACAGTTAAAGAAAGGCCATGGAGAACACAGAGAGAAGCAATGATGGCATGGTTAGAAAAAGGTTGCAAAGAATGTACGGAAATCTGAGCTTTTAGTTTTTTTCATTTTTAATAGCTACCATTGCTCATCCTCTGCACCAGACTTCTCCAGACATCCCTATCAGAGAGGAATTGACTGGTTTGGCAACTGTGTCCCAGTAGCAGCGCAGGGCAAAGGCAGCTGGGGCCAGGCAGAGTGCATGTCTGCATTCAGTGGGGCATGAGGGCAAAGTATCAGAGTTGGAAAAACACTGCTGCACAAACAGGACATGAGACAGCTGGGAAATTAACTCCAGGCATGCACACAGGAAAACTCCTGCTGGAAACTCGGGAGAGAGCAGACCACAGTGGGCAGATTTTCAGAAGTAACAATTCCCATTTCCCACAGAACTGTTTTGCACCAGATGTGTGTTTCTCTTTCCAGAATTCATTTCATGTTATTTTAAGCTTTTTAACACAACACTTTCCATCTTGGAGAACTGAAATGCAGGATTTTGAAAAAGAGTGTGTCCTCGGTTCAGCAGTAGCAGTCATTTTTCTCCTTCTTAGTAGCTGGTGCAGTGCTGTGTTTTCGACTAGTCTGAGAACAGTGCTGAGAGCAACAACTAAAACCATAGGTGTGTTTATTCCAATCAAGGACTTCTCAGTCTCATGCTCTGCCAGGGAGGAGGGGAAGCCAGGAGGAAGCAGAGACAGGACACCTGCCTCAAACTAGCCAAAGAGGCTAGCCAAGAGGCTAGCAAGTACAGTGCAAGCCTGATAGCCACACATGCAAAAATAAAGAAAAGGAGAGAAAGTTTAGTACTCTGAAAGTATGGACTGGAAATAAGAGACAATCCAAGCGTAGCTCATCCACTAAGCATTTTTGCCTCATACTCCAGTTAGGATAACGATGTGTGTGAATAGAAAAAAAATGACATCCAACAAATATTGGAACAGGACAATATAAGAAAGTATCTGAAAAGAAAACAAGTCTATTTACTATGAAAAGCCCCTCTCACTGTAACAGGGAAAGAACTGGCAAGTTAAACTGTAGTTTCAGCAGCAAAAAATGTTTAGTGACTCAGTGAATCTTTTTTTTTCCTAGTAATACACAAGCAAGGGAAGCAAAAAGGGAGAACTGAACGATTTGGTCAGCTTACTCTACCCTGCATGATTCCCTGTTCTTTGCTCACCCGTACAGCCTGGGTTTTGCTTTTGGTTGGTTGGCTGATTTAGCCTCACCACATGAGGCCTGAGAGGGGATAACTCAGATCTGAAGGGCAGACAACTGCTGAAACTATAAATAGTTCAAACATACAAAACTATGAAAAAATAAATATCAAATAGGAATTAAATTCCTAATTACTGAAGGACTGGAGTTACAAATAGCCCTCTAAAGACACATTTGGCAAGGAACTTATGACTTGATAGATCTTCAAGCAGCAACTCTTTGAACTTCAAGTGGGAACCCACAAGTTTTACAATCTGATGGGGAGACATGACTGCCATTTACATCATAGCCTCACACCAACTGACTTCTGATGGGTATTTGTAGGGATCAGAAAGCATTTATCGTTATCCCTAACTTCTGAGTATAGAAACCCTCTTCTCAATTTTTCTGAATATTGAAGATAAACTGCAAGGGACAGCTTGATTTGGCAGAAACAGGAAGGGCTTTTCACTGTGGATGGTATATGGTCCTCTGAATATTGTGTGGGCAACAAACTTACTGCCTTTGATAGAGTAACATACTTGTGTTAAGCCAACACACTGGCCTCTTTTGCCCTCTTCCTGTGCTACTTTCTTTGTACACAGAGTTTTGGTCTTCAACTGACAGCCAGCATTTGTTCCTGCCAAGAAGCATTTCTGCATGGGTATACAGCTTAGGTAACCAGCAAGCACTTCCAGACAAAACCACCTTTCAGCATCTGCAGACGGATAAATAACATAAATGCTCTTTTCTCATTCTTCCCTTTCCCAGTTAAGATAACCTATATGCAATTCATTAAAGCCATCTCTGTGACAATTACTTTCCTGTAAAAGCTCTGGATCAGTTTTTCTCATCCAGAGCCTCATCTTTTTTGATTAGGCCTAAGTCTAAAATTTCAGTTCTTTGAAGTGTATGCTGCCTCTAAGTATAGGCCTGTGATTACTGTGCATAAAGAACTTTGGCATTGTTCTTCAAAGTCTCCTATTTTCTACAGGCCTTTAAGAAAGATCTTCCTTACTTCTCTCAACCTTAGAGTATTCTATTCCTATTTTTTTTAAGTTGTGTGCTCAATAGGGAACAGACTTCAAAAGCTTTAAGGAGAAAACTAATTTGCAACTTTCTTGAAAAAGTACAAGGTTTTACTACTTCTATGCTATAAACTAAAACAGCTAGTTTTCACAGTTCTCAGCACAATTAACAGCATTTTCTAGAAACTGGGAAAATAATGTCATCCAGTTTAGCGTCTTCTTTACTGTTACCCACTACCAGAATTTAAAGGTTTGGCTGCACCACCGTTTCACAGAAAGAAGGAGAATGAAACATGAAGTTTTGTTTAAGGTACAATTCTTAATAACATGAAGACTGAAATCTAAAGTTTCAGCATTCATATTTAACTATCTACACTCAACAGAAAAAGTGGCTTACCAACCAGTACTGCAGCAGCCCTAAGGGTAACAGATATACAGACACAGAAAGATGTTCTCCAAAACATATTTTTAATGTAATCTGCATCTGGAGCCTAAAGAGAGCAAGAACAGAGAAATATGCTTGTTATTCCTTTTTTACATTACTGTTAAAGCTAAATTTCTTCACATGAAGAGGAAACTCCAATATTTCCATACATGGAGCTAGCCCTGCATAGGAAGTCTTTGTGATAGAACACAAATACCATGTTATTTATAACCAAAACAACAATAACTTTTCATTTGGCCCTCACTGAGGGCTCAATTCACACTCAAAGCCAAGAGGTACGAGCAGTCTAGCATGTCTCCCACCAATTTTTCCAAAATTACTTTGAAGCATTAAATACCAACTGGTTTCATCATAATCACAGAAGACGGAAGTTAGTGTGTAGTCTACTTACTCGCATTTGCCAGCATCTTAGAGTTTAACAGGCATCGCACTCTGTATTTCAAAGCATGAGGAAGCTATTTCAAGAGCAGTTATACCCTGCCGCTGTCACCTTGCATTTGATATAAAACTCATGAGAGGCACATTTTTTCCTCATGAGGCTTTTACCTTTCCTATAAACCCTCCTGTAAGGATTTTGCTACAGCACTCCATTCCTTTTTTAAAAAGTAGTGTTCTGTAAAAATGGAAACAGGTTTATTTTAATGAGTTGTAAAACAGTCAATAAGAGATACCTCTTTGGGGACTCTGAAAACACACAAAATTACTTCTTATCCAGTGACTGCTGTAAAGTACATATGGAAAACTAACTGTTGCCTTTCACTTCAGAAAGTGTCTTTACACTGCACTTAACAAAGAGAACAAAGACACCAAAGACAGATGAATCTTGTTATCAGCATAAACTATACAAAAATAGGAATAAAGTCTCATAGAATTTGGTAAGAAAAGCATTTATTTTTTTTTAGGAGAATACTATTCATCTTCCTGGATTAAGTATTTCATTTGAAACCCAAGACAATTAGAAGAAAAACAGATTTAAGCATTTATCCCCTACCCCCCAAAAAAATACAACTTTGGAGGTATCAACAAGCAAGGAGCCTCTGCCTCTAGAGAGGCTTACTGTGAACTGTATAATCAATTTTAAAAGCTGTTACACCCCTGCAGGGCATACAATTTTTTCAGCAGTGTTCCCAATATTTTTCTGCATTGGTAGCTCAGAAGCAGTATGTTTCAATAGGGAAAAAAAAAAATAAAATCCCAAATAGGAAGAGAAAAATGAGAAGAACAGGAAGGCCTAAACACAGGCCTAAATGTGCTTGTTGACCTTCTGGATCAAAAGCCCTGTATAGGTACACTTACAGCCCACCACTGAAATGAAATATCAAGTCAAAAATATCCAGTATGCTATACCATTAAATTTACAAGTAAACTATATTCTATGCAACTGAAATGATTTTCACTTTAACACATCTGCATTATAAATTCTACTATTAATCAACAGTAAAGTGCTGAATTAAATTAATTACCTGAATTGCACTCACATTTATGATCTTTATTTATAGATTTCTTATCAAGTCAAAAGAGCCCTTTCTGTTGTAAAAGCTAAGCTGTTGTGCAAATATTATAAAAATAGGTACTTTAATTAGGAGCTACATACACAACAGAACTTCTGCTTTTTGTTATGTAGAGCTGACATAGCAGAGGTGAAAAAGCCATGCAAGTATTGATAAAGACACTTAAAATGAATTAAAAAAGACACTGCTATAGAACTTTCAACACCCTGCCATACAGCCGTTTACTGTATTAGATGACGTCTAGATGCGGACAAATAAGCATCATGCCACCTACATGCTTTAGTTTCTTAGATAGCTAATACTGATTTGTAAATTTTAAACTACAGCATACATTTGATCTATTTCTCATTAAAGTGTACCATTAAGTTTGAGGTTAAACTTTGAACAACTTCACATCTAGTTACATAACCAGCACAAGCAAGACATTAGTGCAAAGGGGAAGGTGTCAATTGTACATAATGAAGACTCCTCCCCTAACTGCACGATGCAATAAAACATCTTCAGATTTAAAGTTCAAGTGGACTACAAAGAGAAAAAGTGAGATATTCTCCCAAATTTAGAACAAATTTCCAGAGGATCAGAAGGAAAACAACCTCCGTTACAGGTCAAACCCAAATTTGGACAGCTGGTAAGTAACTCCAAAATTTATCATGCTATGAACACAGCAGTCTTGGAAAAGCTCCAAACAAACTCCAAAAATCGGCATTTAAGTTCACATTGGCCAAGTGCTGCATAGAAATATGCTCACACACAACAGTCATGTTTAAGCCAGTGCATAGAGAAGATAAAAGCACTTACGGTAGCTGCAAATGTTAACAGTCCATACAACTTGTACATTTTAGCAATGAGTCCATAGAAAAAGGAAAGAGTTAGAGTAGAAATGCTCAAGCAAAACCAAAAAGATGACCTTCCAACTGTATAAAATCCACACACTTACAGTAAAAAGATATCAGTGGAAGATACTTAACTCAGTCCCAAACACCAACAGGCAAGTAAGACCAGAATAGACAAGCCTTTGGCAGACAATTTGAAGAGTCTAAATATGGCATTACATTTCTAAATAATCCACAAAATATATTATATGGAATATTCATATTAAATACTAGGTACCCAACTCTGCAGATCTGACACTAACAATGATTTAGCCAATGAGAGCAAGATGAAGCAAGCTAAGAGAATGCTGGTGTATTGTAACAGTGCTCAAGGAAAATATTATCATGAAGTCATGCTTCAAAACCGTACTCTGGCACTCCATACTATCATCTATGGAGCAAAACAAAGTTCTCTAGTTTTTCAGGGATGTGCCCTGTGTAGCATATGTTATAATTCGCTATTACACGGGCAGCAAGACACTGCAAAGTAGTATGATTTATTGGCTGGATTAAATTTTTTGCCATTTCCTTTTCACCCAGTAAATCACTAGCAGTTTGTTTATGTGAGTTTGTGGCATCAAAGTGAGAACCTGACTCGATAAGAAGATTCATGATGTCTGGATGGTTGTTCAGTGCAGCAATGTGTAACGGACTGTTGTTATCAAAGTCTCTGACATTTACATCAGCACCACATTCCACTAGGATAGCAGTAACTTGTAGAGAGGGGAATTTACAAACTGGGTAGCGACCCACACATGTAGTTTTATTGTCAACAGCAAGGTGAAGTGGACTAAAGTTATTCTTCCCTCTAGGCTGAAGCTTAAGAAACTTGTAAATAGTCTGTTTCTTAAAATGCTCCTGTTCTGAGGTGCAAGGTACTTTCTCCAACAAGCAAATTAAATGCAAGATGATGGAAAGGGCTTTGTTCACCTGTATCGGATCAGGAGAACACTGGGTTTGTTTCATGGCCCGTTCTATTTCAAGAACACTTTTGCACAGTATACCCATGAGATCATCAAATGTGACAGTAGTGCCTAGCAGGCCTTTTGCCCTGTCCTGAAGCATGAAGGAAAAAAGTTCAGCAAACGATAGCAAACTGCTGGCTGTCATTGGGCTCAGTGGGTCAAGATTGCTCTGCTGCATGTCCAAAGCATATTTCCATAAGTTGATACAACGCTTGAAGTTTCCAGAGTCAGCATAGACAGCACCTCTGTATCTAATATAGTAGGATGTATCTGGGTGAGATGGACCAAGAATTCGTTCTCTAATTAATAGTGCTTGCATTCTCATTTCATCAGGGTCTGCAATAAGATTTTCTAGCTCTTCGGAGCTGTTTACTTCTTTAGCATAATCATATGCCATAATTAGTGTTTGCGGCACAGGTTTGCTCAGGATATTAGTCCTATCACTGTATCTCATTTCCATAGCTCGCTTCCAGTACTTCATGGCACCAAGCAGATCCCTCTTTTTGTCCACAAATGTTGCTCCTAGAAGTTCCAGGGCATTTACGCGTTCAGCCTTAGTGGTCTGCACATGCTGTGTCAGAAAGTCCACGATATTTGTATGGCCTGTCACACTAGCTGACAGCAGGGGAGTCATTCCGTAACCATCCTGTTCCATTTTAGCACAATACTTCAGAAGCATCTTCATGATCTCCAGACTTCCAGACTCCGCACAGTCATGTAACGCTGTGTTTCCTGCAGAAGAATACAATTATACAAACCACAATCAAGCTATAGTCTGAACTTTGCACTCTAACAGTTTAAAAATAGTTTAAAAATCACCAAACATTAATAGTTAATAAAAAGGAGCTACCTGTTTTGACATCTATGGTCTATGAAGGTTTACATGACAAGTCAAAATATCCAAGATCTGATTAAGTATCAAGGCTGATAGGCAATTATACAACCCAAAACATTCTATATTATCACCTGAAAGAATTAAACAGGTCTTAAGGACCTCTTTGTCCCATTATTTCAAAAAAAGCAAACCCCACCACAATTAAAACAGAATTCCTTACTACATAAAAACCACAGGAGCAGGCAATTCCTTAAGAGTCAAGCAAGCAGGGTAAAAGACCACCTTGGCTGAACAAGGAACTCCTTATAGAGCTCAAAAGGGGAAAGAAATTGTACACTCTCTGAAAGCACATTCAGTCTTTGTAGGAAGATTCAGAGCTGTGGTTCATGTATGCAAGGAGAAGATACAAAAAGACAAAGCTCAATTAGAGCTGAAACGGGCCAGTGCTGTGTTAGACAACACAAATGCTTTATGTAAGTTAATAGCAAGAGTTGTAAAGAGAAAAAAGAAATCAGACCAATATATGTTGAAGATGGTCTAATAAGTATGATAAAGTGGAGGCTTTCAATGTTTTTTCTGCCCCAGTCTTTAATAATATGGATAGACCTTGAGATGCCCAATCCCCAGAGTTGGAGGACTGAGTATGGGAACAGTGACTTTTCATTTGTGGACAACAAAATTTTAAGGGACCAGCTGTATCAGTTTAACATTCACAAGCAGAGAAGGAGCTAGCCCATGTTATGGCAGGACCTTCTCTATTGTCTACCAAAGAGTCTTGGGAGGTCCCCATTGTCTGGAAGCTAGCCAGTGTTATTCCAGTTTATAGGAAGGACATGAGGGAAGATCTAGGAAACTACAGACCTGTTAGTCTAATCTCAGTTCCTGGAAAAATTACAGCGATTATACTGGATACTATTGAAAGGCATTAAAGGACAACGCAATCATCAGTCAGCATGGAGAAGTCCTGTTTAACTGATTTGATAGCCTTCTATGATAAGGTCACCTGCCTGGTGGAAGAAGGGAAGGTGATGGCTGTACTTTTTCTGGATTTTAGTAAGGCTTCTGATGCTGCCCTCACAGCATCCTTCTGGGCAAATTGTCCAGCTCTGGAATGTGCAGGTTCACTGTGTGCTGGGTGAAGAACTGGGTGAACAGCAGGGCTCAAAGTGTTGTAGTGAATGGGGCTACCAGTGGTGTTCCTCAGGGCTTTTCTAAGGCCAGTTCTGTTCAGTATTTTTATCAATGATCTGGATCTAGTTGAACATTGTAGGTCCCTTCCAGCTAAAATATTCTGTAAGAGATTTTGTATCTGCTTTCAAGTATGAAAAAGAAACTTAAGCTGTCTCCATGTTTTCCCTTCTTCCCCTGTCAAATTTCCCTTCCTATCCCCAGAAATGATTAAAAAATAATGAGATCTATATGAAAATTAAAGTTGGGCTAACTCAGTATTGGCTTTGTGTGCCTCCATACTATACCCCCTCTTCTCTCCACCTACCAGACATTTTGATTTATGCATTTTTAAGCAATAACTGTATTACAACAGGCCCTTGATCTCAGCTGGGGCCTCTTGAGACTGCCAGTATGTTCTGAGGGAGCTGGATATTTTGCCAAGCACCAGACAAACTATTCTTAATGCTTTCTTAGGTCATTATCCCAAAGTCCTAAGTTAATTCATCTGCTCCTCTGGTTAGGATTTCCACAGGCAAAAAGGGAAAAAAAAAAAAAAATCCAACCCAGAACCTTCAAATCCAACCCAGAACCTTCAACACACAACATCTAAGTGTCTTATCATTTACATACAGATTATTTCACATTAGCATGACATTGCAGAGTCTTTTATTTAAAGGCATTCCCTTTCTAACACTGTGTGGGAAAGTTTCTAGAAAGCACTAGTGTCACCTGTTTGAAAACCGTATTCACAGAAAATTAGAAAGCAAGCACTGGACTCCACAGTTAAATAACTTAACTATGAGGCTTCAACTAGATGAAAATTTTGCCTTTAAAATTACACAATTTATATCTACCTTGCTCTTCCATAAGGTGTTATACATTCTACAAATTCAGGCACAGCACTTTTCAGCCTTCCACTAATATTAAATTATTAAGTGAAAGCTTATGTAAAAATGCCACCCCCAATTAAAGAGATCTTGCATTAGTCCTGCAAATTGCAGTTACCTGCGCATCAGATCATCAGTTACTGTGACACTGTCAGTATGTTTCCATATTCACAAATGAGACATTCTTTATAAGGGTTCTCTGCACATTCAGATTTGGCTTTTTAAAGCTGAGAGAGAAGTTTCCTGAAACTTCCTTATTTGCATTTTTGGTAGGCTTTTCTTTTTTAAATGACAACAAGTCAGCAGTTGACAGTGTGCTTTGCTATTGTATTTCCAGTCTCTTAAGACAACTACAGTGGGTCAGGAAACAAAACCAGAAAAAAAAAAAACAAAACAGAAAAACACAGAAAATATCAGATTGTTTCATTAACAGATAGCAAGCTTCACTTGCAAAATATTCCTTTTATGAAACACTTCTAAATAGCAGCCAGCAATTCTATCACTCACTAACAGGCTGAGGAAAACACCCCAAAGTGGCACCTGAAATTATCTCTTAGATCAAGATCCACAAAGTTAAAAACAGTTTGTACAATAACAAGTTTGTTAATTTGGCATCTGTATCAAATATAATTCCCTCTGTCCTTATCACACACCACAGACCAGAAAATGTCAACACCTTTAAATGCCTAACATGGGAAGGTGTCAAATGCAACAAACTCACCAATGCACATACATTTTAAGTCTTTTTACTATGCTGGAGAAAGTCCAGTTGGTACGTAACTTCAGCAGACATCCTAGAACTAAGGACTGGCTGTTCCCTCAGTCCATCTGCACTTCTGCACTCAGTGATGAAGACAAAAAACAGATACATGTGGGTGCTGGCTAAGCCACCAGTTAATACAGCCATTCCAGAGTGTATTCAAGTCCATCCCGCACATCAGAGCTCCAAAACACTGGAATTAGCACCTATTTTTTTAACTTCAAGTCGGTATTTTCAACGTATTTTAAAAGTCGTGGCATAAAAGTGTACTAAAGACAAGCAAAAAGATATTTACAAAGTTCCTATATTGCTTCACATCTGCTAATACACATTTTTCTGGCTTTGACAATAGGATCACTGGCACCTATTCATATTACACGTTGTAGACCCATTGCCATATAATGCTGCTCTTGACACTCTTATTAATTACCAGCCATATATGCTATGACATACTGATACTGAAAAAATCCCACATAGATTAAGCTTGGCTATTGTCTGGGTAAATTCAGGTCCTATCCAACAGTCTACATGTCATTAATTTATAAGGCAGCTATGCAGAGCATATGGAAATATGCTTAAGACTCCACAAAATTTCAGTACTCTGTCCAACTGCATGTCCTTAGTTTAAAAAAAAATAATAAATTGTGTTTGTATTACAATTTTTGACTTTGGTTTAAGCAGCTGTTACTGACAGTATAACAGAAGTAGTGTAATTTTTTAGCTACTTATATTGTAGTATGCCTTAGAGTTAGAATAACCATAGTTATTTTAAGCCATGCACAAACCAACAACGGAAGGCCACCACCACTAATTCTTAGCGGCTGCACCTCACTTAGGTTTGACTGGATGTTACAGGTACCATTGTAAAAGCCAACAAATTTTTAGAGAGGAGATGTTGACTGTGTAGACAAATAGTTGAGAACTGCCAATCTAAAAAATAATAGAAAAAAAAAAGCAAAACAAAAAAAAACCACCACCACATATACATAAACCCCAAGAAATAACAAAATTACCAGCCATCTACACATAGAAGTATATCAAGTGTGAAATTTTAGAAGAACTCAAAAGAAAAAGAAAACTTTTATCCTGCTCTATGTTTGATATATTGAGCAGGAATTGGAACAGCTCAAGTAAGTATGGCAAATCAACCATTATTCTGTAAATTAACTTACCCATTTCAGAACCACTGTATTGTCTATAGTGACAAGAATATACAGTGGCTGAACACAAATCAGCAGTTAATTTTTGTAACAAACTAAAAGCCAACACTACATCTAGTGTTATATTAAAAAAGGAAAAGGCTGGAAAACTTGATATTTCTTCTCTTTGATAAACAGTTTTCCAAGAGACATATACAAAGATGGTGGTTAAATTCCTTTTTTTTTTAAGGTGTGAATGGTTATTTCAAAGTAGGTTTCAATAAATTTGCTTAATCCAATTTTTACTTCAAAATGATCTGCATGGATTTAATTACATACAGAAGACAGTTAATATTCCAATAACACGAAAGTTTCATTGCTCTTTCACAGAAATAAAATTAGACTGGATATGTTTTGGTAGTCACAGTATTTCTCTGCTAGAAAGTGATTCCCACTATTATTAATACTCCTTACAAACTATCTGTATCACACTTTACTATTCATATTATCTAGTAACTTCCTCTGACTAAAAAAGCAACAAAGAAATGGAATAACCCTACCTTCCAAATCTTGCAAAAACAAAGTAAGAAAATAGGTATGGTCAACTGACACCATATCTTCATGTTTTATTCTTTTGTTACTTTTTAAAGTTAGTATGAACACTACACATACCTAATTCCCTAACTATCCACTGTTACCAAAGACTGATCAGAGTGAGGGTTTAGCATTCAAATTCATAATTAGGCCATTTCTTTCTATGTCAGAAGCAAATAATTCCCAAAATAGACTGGTAGCATGTGACATGGGAATGAAAGAAAATGAAGCAGTCACACAGAAAGTGACTTGAAGCCAACCAAGTACATCTATTTCTTAATACTTATAAAATGCTTGGTTTCTAAGTAGTAAAATTTATATTAAAATTTAGGATCAATCTGACTTCA